ATTGATGCTATACAAATAAAATTGTTAGTTACAGTAATATTATTACTAGTAATCCTTTACTGCACTAATTTTTCATTGTAAAAATATTCTTTTATTTTGAATTTTTTGTTATCCGGCAGCCAAAGACAATGTCCGTTTTAGATTTAAAGATTTAAGATTTAAACTTGTTTACTGAACTAGCTTCATCAGGGTTTTCTGTTGAAGGAGAAGAAAAACTAGACTATTTGGTGAGATCAATGTCCGACATACAGCCCCGCCTATAAGTAACAAAGTGTTCATTCTTTGTCTCCAACAGGAAGCTACGCACAGATAGACGGTGAGTTATGTTCTTTTATTTATTCATTTAAATTGTCTTTGCAAAAAGAACATAAAACACATTTTCTCTGTTTACACAAAAGTTCAAAACTGCCTTTGATCCTGAACTGGATCAAAGGCAGTTTTGAATAGTTGCCATTACCAATACTGTTGTTGCTATGCACCTAGCAGTTTTGAATTCAGCCGTCTGAATAAGCTGCAGCAGTTCTCACTTTTCAAACTCCACTGAGAGACTGAAATACTCTTCTTTTTCTTACATTTTGTTCACTGTTCCTTTACTTTTAGCACAAGCTAACATTTAACAACCATTTAGGCATTATGGGATATCGCAGGGCCCCAATTTTGTCGACCATGTACCACGGAAAAAGGCCCCCCAGAAATGAGAGCTAACATTACGCTAGCAAGATTCAAAGTCAATAAAACTGCATTCGGTCGACAAACGGTAAATATAATTTGAGAGTATGTTTAAGAACAAGACTAGCTAGCTATCAGCCATGTCGGGGTAATAAATTACGTGGCACCAGAGGGCGCAATGCTCCCTGACATTCACGAAATTTTTGACAAACAGGATTATATTCGGCACAGAGTCCCATTCTGACATATGGGATCACTGCTTATTCCATTCAAAGGTATGCTAAATGTCAAACTTTAAGGTTTGAGTCCGGACATTTTGTGTACGTTCTCGCTTATATCTTAACAAGTAAAACATATAATAACATTGTCGTTCATTTTACTACCCAATGAAAACAGTAAACACTAAATATCATCATCATCATAAATATAAAAACCTGCACCGACCTGCAGCGGTTCCATGAATTCTGTCTATTTCCCTCCAGTTTGCGGCATCGCTCCGCTCAACACTAAGATCGTGGGAGGCGAGAACGCCCCCCCGGGGTCGTGGCCCTGGCAGGCCAGTCTGCACATGTTCAACAGCCATTTCTGTGGAGGCTCCCTGATCAACAACCAGTGGGTCCTGACCGCTGCTCACTGCTTCGAAAGGTATAAATAAACAGCTAAATTATTCTAATTCAACTCAGTGTCATACGATATTCTTTTAGGTAGTTTTAGTTCAGTTTCCTAATGAGTGTTTTAGTCGTTTCCATTAATAAAATCATAATTAAAATATTGTGTTTAAATGTAGCAACTCTTTAAAGACTAATTATTTAATAAGATCAATTTATTGATTAATATATATATAATAAATACTTAAGCATGAGAAAATATATAATTATTCTTTAAATTATAAAATGCACTTTTTCAAACTTAAATTGAAACGTTTATTTTAACCTTTTAAACCTAAAGCTGCGACGCTGAAATTATAAAATGAATTACGAACGGGAAAAATAACACCATAATTAATGAAAATTCTGTAACAATGAAATCCAGCAAAACTGTGTCACTGAATAAAGACGTCATTAAACGAGAATAACACTTCCTCACACTGTTTCTGTTTCTCAGCACCAGCACAGTCGGTCTCGTCGTTTACCTCGGACGTGACACCCAACAGCTCCCAAACCCTAACGAGGTGTCCCGGTCCGTGTCCCAGGTCATCAAACATCCAAGATATTTTCCCGAAACATTTGACAACGACATGTGCTTGTTGCGTCTGTCCTCGCCCGTTAAGTTCACCGACTACATCAGACCGGTGTGTCTGGCGGGGGACGGCAGCACCTTCGATCCCGGGACCAGCTTCTGGATCACCGGATGGGGAACCATCGCAACCAACGGTGAGACTTCATGATCATATGGATTAATTATCTTTTTATTGATTATCTTTTTATTGTTGTTTACTGATTTGCAATCAACTGTCCACAACACAAGACACACACGTTGATATAATGTTATGTGGGGTATAACGTCCGCCGAGGTGTTCATTATCAGGAATTAATGAACGACGTTGAGCAAAGTCCATTAATACCTGATAATGGACGCTATGAGCCAGTAACATAAGCTGGAGTTAATTAATAAATCTTTTCTCTTTCAGTTCCCCTTCCTTTCCCAGAGCGACTGCAGCAGGTGAGCGTTCCCACCGTGTCCAACAGTCAATGTAGCGCCGTCTACAGCGGAGTCGTAGCAATCACTAACAACATGCTCTGTGCCGGTCTGGACAAGGGAGGGAAGGACTCCTGCCAGGTGAGTCTGCAAAACACCCCTCCATCAACCGCTGGGGGGCTTTATTTCCTTAAGTTAGACAGGAAATGGCAACAGGTAGGATTCAGTCCCAGATCCAACTCATTGTGTGTTATCTTCCACCACTCTATCTGACCTCCGCAGGGCGACTCCGGCGGCCCGTTTGTGAGAAAAATAGACGGTAAGTGGCTTCAGGCTGGAGTGGTGAGTTTTGGAGCCGGCTGTGCTGAACCCAAAATCCCCGGAGTCTACGCCCGAGTGTCCCAGTACCAGTCCTGGATCAAGAGCCACATCTCCAAGAACCAGCCGGGCTTCATCTACTCTGGAACCACTCAGCTGGTTTCCCTTTGGGTTCCTCTGCTGATGTCCATCATCGTCTCTTTGTCTGTCCTCTAATAGGAAGCTCGTGGATTGAATTATTTAATCAATTAATTGATCAATTGTTGTCTTTAAAATGTCCTAAAATTTGTCGGGCCGACAGAGTAAAACCCAAAGATCTTTGAGGACCTGCTGCTTTTTAAGAAGAGGACACATTCAGAGTATACTTATTAATGTACAATTTATATTTATTAATGTACAATTTATACTTACTAATGTATAAATTATACTTATTAAAGTACAATGTGTTTACAGGAGTCAAAGAGACAATAAAATCTTGGGTTGGACTTTTGGTTTCAGTTTGTTCTCTATAATCATCACAACTGACCCTTTTGGAAAGTTAGTCAACTTGGATATGCTATGTGCTAGGCTAATATATATATATACCGTAAAACGTATAATATTAGCCCGAGCGTTTATTTGCTTAAATCACTGAACTCCCCCTGCCTTTACTGGGGACAGGCCTCTATTTGGGACAAGCCTTTGATTCCTTTAGCACTAAACTAAACTAACTTCTGCTTCTCTTGAGTTTTGTTCAGCAAATTTGACAACTAACATGATTATTATGATGCTTCAGAGGCTTTTTTCATCTCTCTTGTTTACCATGTTACCAGTAAGTCAGAATGAATTAACGTTATACTTGATAGTTTTCATAAAATATAGTGAACGATTGAATTGTGGAGAATCTATAACTGATCTAATGATGTGCATTATGTACATATAACAACATAAGTTTAAACATTAATATTTGTGTAGGAGATTGAAACGACTTAAAACTCTCTGAAGCGGGCGACCTAGTGGGTTTTAAGAGGTTTTATACATCAAGATAATTTCTATAAAATCTAGACCAGGCTTCTTTTGGAGAACTGCGTTTATTTGTCAAAACGTGTAGCCACACCAGGCTTTAAATGAGACCTGCGTCTGTTAGGAACCCTGCTTTTATTGGAAGTTTTACAGTAAATATGTTAATGTTAGCTGAAATATTTTTTCTAGAGTACAATATATATTTGAGCTCTGCTGTTTTTCCTCCTAACTGCACCTTAACGTTCTGGGTCCTGAGTAGCTACTGCTTCAAGTTCATGGTTTATCCAACCATGCCTCTTACCAGCCACAGTGTGGCGCTAGAACCATCAGGCTCACAGTCTGCCATTGGACAGTCTGAAGAGACACAATGCATTTTCAGTTGAGTGTGTCCAGTACACTCACAGCGCATACTCAGAAGCAGAGTGCGGTTTGCTTGATGTTTCCTGAATAAAGAGGACAGCTAGGGAGGGACTTGTTTAGTAGTCATTGTCTGTCATTTTTATCTATTAAAAAAACCTATTAAGTAAGACACTGAACTCTGTAAAACTGGCTAAAATCAGGCTGTTTGATGTCCACTTGAATGAAATTTTTAAATCAGTCCTGACGCCTTGTGTTTGATGCAGAGAGGTGCTGTACTAGCAGAATGACAGCAGAGTCTAAATTACTGAAGTAACATCCAACAGGTTTTAATGTTTGTGTATCAGCAGAGCTGCTAACCCCATCAATTCTTTCTTTACACACATTTTACTGAGTGTTTGTGAGCCATGGCCTCTCCTGAGAGCTGATTACTTAAAGCACAACACAAATAATTAATAGAAGTTTGTACTCAGACTTTGTATCCACAGATAAATCAAACAGTTGAGTTCATTCTGACTTTCCTCAGCAGTTCACAGACACACAACTGGCTCAGATTCTGACAGTAAAACAAGAATAATGTTGTATGAACACTCACCCTGTTTCCACCTTCCTGCTCTGCTGCTATAAAATGGAGTCTGAGCTGACGGCACTAAATACTTCCACTCTCAGGTATCTCAGTCCCTCCCCTCTCCGCCTCCACCCTCTGAGTTTTTTGTTAAAGGTCCAGTGTGTCACATTGAGGAGGATTTATTGTTATAAATGTAATATAATATTCATAGGTACTGTTTTCATTAGTGTATACATCACCCACGCAATGCACAAACGCAAACACCTGGCGTAGATAGGGACCTTCAATGCCCCCCGTTTTCATAGTTCCTCCTTTAGTGCTTGGAAGGGGAAGATGAAGTGACTACAACTACATCAGTAAAACAGAAGAAGAAGAATCCCTTTTATTTATTATACGTACACATACAAGGAATTTGACTCTTGTAAAAAATTTACACCCTCTGCTCCGAGCCATGTTTAATGAATCTCTGTCATCAGGATGTCTCCCACCAACTTT